CCTCGTGTTCCTTCTTAGGGGCCGTTCGGTTGGCCTGTAAAGGCCTGTAACGGATAATTTATCTGTGTTATCTGCTTTTATCACGCGTTCGGTACGCGTGTAACAAAGGCAGATAAAATTCTGGGCAGAAACATTTTATCCGGTGAATCCAGATACTGTATCCGGGGGAATAAGCCTGATAAGGCTTATCCCCCGGATATCTTTTCTTTTTTTCATTTTTGCCCTTTCCCCTCTCGCGCACACAGGGGGTCGGCCGCCGCTCGCGCAGCGGCGGCCCTTGCGCCCAGGCCCCCGTCGGGGACTTGCACGAGCCCGTCAGGCCCTGCGTCGCTCGTGCAGGCCTGCGCGAGCGGCGCAGCTCGCAGGCAGGGCCCCCGCCGGGGGCCTACGCCCCTCGCGCAGGGCCTGCGCGAGCGGCCGGGCAGCTCGCAGGTAGGGCCCCCACTGGGAGCCTGCGCCGCTCGCGCGGGGCCTGCGCGAGGCGGCCGGGCAGCTCGCAGGCAGGGCCCCCGCTGGGAGCCTGCGCCGCTCGCGCGGGCCTGCGCGAGGCGGCCGGGCAGCTCGCAGGCAGGGCCCCCGCCGGGGCCTGCGCTGCTCGCGCAGGGCCTGCGCGAGGCGGCCGGGCAGCTCGTAGGCAGGGCCCCCGCCGGGGGCCTGCGCGAGGCGGCCAGGCAGCTCGTAGGCAGGGCCCCCGCCGGGGGCCTGCGCCCCTCGCGCAGGGCCTGCGCGAGCGGGCGGTGCCTGCTCGAACAGGCGCCGGCCGGCGCCGCTGCAAGCGCAAGCGTTGGCCGGCACTGTGCAGGCAGGGGCTCTCTCTCTGTTTTTTTTTTTTTTTTTTTTTTTTTTTAAACAGGGTTATTTTGGGAAAAAAATTTTTTTATCCTATTTCTTATCCTGTTGGATGAATACATAACCGAACATGTGATAAGGGATAAAATACTATGCGGGCAGGATAAATTTTATCCTACCTGCCCTATCACCCCTTATCCTATCTCCTAAACCGAACGCCCCCTTAGTTGTCATTGGATGGCTTCAACTGTACTTCATTCTTTAAGAACCAATCATAATTAACCAAGTATATTAATCAAATTACCGCGTGATCCTAGCTTACTTTTGTCAGTACAATATTAATCCTCCAAAACAAAATTCTTCATGCCACAGAATCCTAGTCATGATCTTCTTCAAAAAATAATTCCCTATAATGCCAATGAAAACCCCACATTTAACGGAGATTAGTCCAATTAATCACTCATTTTCGGTCAAATCTTTGCCTTGGTCGAATGTTCACACAAAACAAACCAAACTTAATAGACATATTATATGGCTAATTGCTTGTTTATGCATAGTGTGAGTTGGTAGCCGTCCTTGTTGCTGTTGTATCTATTTCTCCTTTAGCACGACAAGAACTTTGTCCTTCATTTCATGTCACTTTCATTAAATAGAAATTTTCCTATGACTGATGGCAAGACTGGAGAATAATGTCAAAATAGGTGTTCTGGTTGGCTTACTCCTTAATTTTCTATGGTACCAGAGCAACTTGATTTATAATTTTGGGTTACCGGAATGATGACAATAGGAAATGATGTCATGCTGATGTTAGTGCAAATTAATTATCCTTGTTTAAGCATTGTTTATACAACCAGAGGGAATAGGGAGTGTAGAGATGTTTTGAATTTCTGTGTGATAAATGATTAGTAAATTTAGCTTTGTCTTTTAATTTGAATCTGATTTGAATTTGATTTTTAAATTTTAAGATTTAAATCCGATTAAAATATTTGATATGTTAAATTCGATTATAAATATTCATAATTTAAAATAAATGAATCGGATATAAAGTTAAGTAATTCGGTCTATTAAATATTTGAATTTGAATTTTAGTAATATTTTTATTAAATTAATAATTTTATATACATAATATTAATAAATTCAAACTTGTAGAAACTATATTAAAAAAATAATAAAAATTCAATGACAAATATAATTAATGAAATAGAGTTAAGAAATTTCAGTATAAAGAGTGTCACTTTCATGTTAAATCAGATTTTTATAATAGATTTTAGATTATCTATTAGATTCGGATATAGTTTAATGTAAAATTATAGTTTAATTCGGATATAAATCATCTATTAGATTCGGGTATAGTTTATAAAATTTTAAATCAGACTCAAATATGAAAATCGGTAATTGAATTTAGATTTGAATTTATATTTGTCTCATTTAATCTAAATCTGACCTATTGATTACTCTAATAAAGCTTATTTGTTACTTAAATAGTGCCCCATGTAGGGTTTCAGAAATTCTTTGAGAGAAGAAATAATTCGAGTGTAATTAGAGTTTTGGGATTGAAAAAATCTCTTATAATTTCTTACTTATACATAATAAATTTCTTTATATTGTCACGTTTTATGTCAAAATCTAGTCGTGTAAATTTGCCTATTTTGTGTGTGCTTATTTCTTTCATTTTCTCTATTCTTGTTTAATCATTTTTAGCATAATGGGAAGAATGCCTAATTATGAAAGAATATTTCTAATCTCTCCACAAAATCACAATTAATTTCATAATTCCATCGCTTGCTTTAAAATAATAGAATAATGCTGGAGCTGCCTAACTATAATTGAAGAACATTCTCTTCGACCAACAGAGTCAAGGCAACGGTTACATTATGTGATAAACCGGTCTAATAATGACAATAATTGGGATATATGTATCTAATTATAATTTTTTTAAAAAATTGGGGCGGATGCAGAATTATTTAAAGGCTCAGCACTGAATCAAACTAACTATGCTTCTCACTAGATCGATCCATACTCGGTTAAGTTTCTGATATAAATTTTTATTAGCTGTGCGCTCATTTTCTTGCATCAAACATAGGTTTTGTTGTATCCTAAACGCGTATATGTAGATTAACAAAGGTTTAAAGACACGTGTTGGAAATAGTTTTATTCAAGTCAGGTCTTTCATTTGTCAACGTCAATCGATGATGGCGATGTGCGTCAATTATTTGTGTGTAATTCGACGCACTTAAAACGGATCTTCACGTGCGAGTTGTACGTCTTTGACCGTTGATTTTCTTGCGGACAAACCAAGAAAAGAAAATGCTCCCTTGGTTTGTTGTTTTTCAGTGCTTGTTAAGATATTATTGTTTAGAGTATTTTACCAAGGACGAAAAAAATGGTATATAATTTGAAATGATAAAAGTAAATGGTAAAATTACAAAATAAGATAAAATGAAATTATGTGTGTGTATATATATACATATATATATATAATTAAGAGTGCTAACAGATTGAATTTGGATCAAATTAGATAAATTTAAATTTAAATTCGATTATCTATTTTTTATGTTTCAATTTGATTCAAAATTCTAGAATATTTGTATTTGTTAAATTAAACCAAATCCAAGAAATAATGTAAATTCGATAAAAAAAAAATCTAATATGCAAAAGAATAATATTGTTTTATACTTAAATTCTTTAACTCTATTTCATCAATTATATTGATCCTTGAAATTTTTTATTTATTAATTTGTCCTTGCAAGTTTAAATATTATTAACATTATATATATAATATTATTAAGTTAATAAAAAATATTGTTAAAATTTAAATTTAGATTTTTAATAGATTAGATTACTTAATTTTATATCCGATTCACTTATTTCGAATTACACGTATTTATAATCGGATTTGATTTATCAAATATTTTAATCGAATTCAAATATCAAAATTTGAATCAAATTCAAATTAAATTTAGATTAAAATCTAATATGTTGACAGCCTATATATAATGTTATACTTGGATGAGAAAAAATATGAAATACAATAAAGTGAAACCCATAAATTTTGAAAGTTTCAAAAAAATATTCATGGACAGGATATAAAAAATTTGAATAAAATTTTCATTTTTTTTGCTATGTTGCGTATATAGTATATCTTAATGTATAATACCACAACTTATAATCCAATTTTCCCTGTTTCCTCTCCGCGGTGGGATTCATGACAGCGTTGTGTAAGAAATTGTTTGTATCTCTTGTTTAATCTCTCACAGCGACAAATAATGGACTGTTAGCTGGCTAAACAAATAATTCCGTAACCTGTTTTGGCAAAAATGAAATTATGAGTATTATGAGGGGTAATAATCAATTAAATAGTCTTATGTGGAGCACAACAAGCCAAGAAAGAATCTCACGAGTAGAAAACGTTTGAACTTCTTTAAAACCTTGAGATCTTATTGTGTTGTCCATATTCAAAATCTCCCAAGCGGTGATGTAAATTGTAAAGTAAGTTTCACTCTTAGGATAAATTGCAGCAGGAGTTCCCATACTTTTCTTGGTTTCAATTTGGTCCCTATCCTTCCGATTGGATCAATTTACCCCATACTTTGTAGCAGGAGTTCCCATGCTTTTCTTGACAATCCTTTAGAGGACGTCACAGCTAATAATAGTCAATTAGACCACGTGCTTTGTCTTGACTTGCGGTTAATCCCAGGCCTTTTTTTTTTTTAAATGACTGTTGTTAATTCTCCTCAATAGGATTTGGACATATAGTGCAGGGGCTAAACTGCTGCAATTGAAAGAATGGAGATCAAATAGAAATTGGGTGTAAAGTACGGGAATTCGTAAATTTTCCTAGCCACGTGCGCTATTGAGACAAAAGAAGGCTACAAAATTGAAAAAGAAAGTTATAGCAATGGGTTTCCCCTCTTATACTTTCAACTTTTTCTTCTTGTTTGTGCATTAGTACTGGGTAAGGAGGACGGTGACGAGAAGCTTCTAATTTTTCAAACTGCCTATTGGTGAAATAGACATGTATTGAGTGAACTCTAAGAGGGTCCCTCCCTTGATAGTTCTTGGCATCTGCCTTAAAAAGAATTGCATCATCCTTGGAACAAATTATATATATAAAGCTTAGTTTCTAACACGTTTAGCACTGGAAATCACTCCGTAAAAATAAGTTTGAAAACAGAGCCTGGCTTACTAGCTTTGAGGCTCATCTTCCAGAGATGGTGAGGGCTCAGTTCTGCAAGAAGACTGGTTTGAAGAAAGGAACTTGGAGCCCTGAAGAAGATAAGAAGTTGGTAGATTACATCAACAAATACGGCATTTGGAACTGGAGTGAAATGCCGAAGTATGCAGGTAAGATCCAATAAAGGCCAAATGGTTGAAATAAATTATGAAAAGTTGCCGCTTCTTCTTCTTCTTCTTCCTCTCTTCTTCTTCTTCTTCTTCTTCTTGTTTCTTAATTACCTTGATTTGTTTCAGGTTGAGGAGGTCTGGGAAGAGTTGCAGGCTCCGATGGATGAACTACCTGAAGCCGGGTATCAAGCGTGGGAACTTGACAAGAGATGAAGAAGAAACAATAATAAAAATGCACGAAAAGCTCGGAAAAAAGTAAGCATTTCACCTAATCTATTGGGTCACGTACCTCTCTAGTAAGATTCTTAGTAGAAAATAGACGGCAATCAGAACCCCAGCCCTATGTCTAGGTCAGACTTCTGTTGAAGAAGTTTGTGCATATATACAATTATTTGTTCTAGGATCAGTAACAGAATTTTTGAGGATATGGACAAAAGTTTTAATTAGATTTTCTATATAATATATCAAAAAAAAAAAAAGACATCACAGGAAAAAACAAAAAATTAAAGAAGTTTTTGGAACTTAAATATGTTAAAACTAATTAAGGAATGTCCTGATTCATGTCTTTTTCTTGAAGATGGTCTGCAATTGCAGCAGCACTGCCTGGAAGAACTGACAATGAAATCAAGAACTACTGGCATACCCATCTAAAGAAACGGCAACAAAAGCCGGAGGCTCAACTGCAAGGCAAGAGTGAGACCATCCATAATGAATTATCTCAGTTGGACCTCTTGCCATCTTGCAGTGCTCCATCACAACTTCCTTTGGGCCTTTCCTCATCTCCATCTATCGATCCTGTTCTTGGGGCTAGTGGAAGTGTCAAAGTTGAGGCAAATCTCGGCTTAGAATCACATGAAGAACTCCCAAGTTTGGCCGATAAAGTAGTGTCCATGGGAAACTGGGATGCACAAGATCTCCAAGATATGATTGATTGTATGCAAGGGATGGCTTTTGATCCGGGTTATGCAGTGCCATACTATGAGCCGTGGTGTGAAGAGCCTGAGTGGTCCATGTAGCTTCTCCAACGAAGCAACCAGTGACCTTTGTTGGTTCAACTTCTAGGGTCCTCGTGTAATTGTTGGTGTAAAATAGCCTAGTATCGATAGTGGTATTCGTTTTTGCAAAATTAAAAATTGAAACTTCAAACAAAAGTTGATGGAGCTGGGTTAGAAATAAAAATTGAGTATATTTGTAAAATATATTACCAAGTGCCGGAAAAACTAATAAAATAGGTGTTTGGAATGTGATTTGTGTAATTTTGAATTTAAAATTAAAAAAAAATCTGAAAAATCAACCTTGGATTTTTCTCATGAAAAGGGCAAGGACAGTTTTGATTTAAGAAAAATTATGAAAATAAAAATGTTCAAAAATAATTTCTACTTAATTTCAATAATAACACTGGTAAGAGAAACACTCATCTTCTCTTCTAGAATCATATTTGGATTCTACTCTTATTTACTTATTACAAGAGTGTCATCGGATGCCGAAATTTTTTTTTAGAGAATCAGAAATTGAAAACAAGTTTAGAAAGAGAGAGTATTTTTGAATCATTAAAAAATAGAGAAATACTGCAAAGAAACTTTTGCAAACACTATCTGCGAAGTAGGAGTTATTAACTTATTCTAATCACTAAAAAGGGTATTTCTTTACATTGAAAAACCAAAAGTGAACTTGGGAACACCAGAGAAACACCATCGTCACCTACAGCTATCAAAATTTTCATGGTTGGGAAGTACTCAAAATTAAAGATGAGACCTGCCTCGGGCAGGGTGACACACAATATAGGCAAGGCAATAAAGCAAGTTTTTCTTTTCATCTATCACCATGCCAATCAATTCTTCCAATCCTCGAAGGCGTCATTTTGCAACTTTGGTTTCTCCACCACATAATTTATGGAGTCTTATATGCCACTTTCCCATTAGAGAAGTAGAATTAGTTCTCGAGGTCTGACCTGCGCCGCGTTTTAGAGTAGATGAGGATGGTGTATGACGACGTACGGGCAGCGGTAATTATTCCCTTTTGAACTGAAAGTTTAATGAAGGATAAAACTCATTAACCCGACCCCTGTGCCCTCGTTTCTTTGAGAGAGGCGAAGCTGGAGCAAAGGATCGGAAAAAGAGATAAGATAAATTAACGGCTTGAGCGATCTTGGGACGGTTCTCAGGCTTGTTCTTCACGAGGAAACTGAGTTCTGTATCTGTTTGCTTACGATCGTTGATTGAGCACAATTCCAGGAAGGAGACAAGCTATTGAATCAAATCTTCGTAGTTGTTGGAAGCGCAGGAAGTAGACGACGTCGACATTTGCGACACCACTGCCGGGTTAGTGGTCGAAGAAACCAAAGATTACTCAAGTAAAGATAAATAAAAACCTAGCAATACCGGAGTGCCCGTGGAGCTCACCGATGGCCTTGGAAGATATTGGACAGCCCAGATTTTAATAGTTCCAGTGAATCGACAAGCATAGCTGGCTGAGCCGCCATGGAACTTGACAGCATGTAGTAGATATCACCAAGCGCAGGATGTTCATGGATTGGTTGAGTTTTGATAGTTAAATTTAAATTAAAGTATATTTTATTTTTTATATTTTTTATGCGTGTAAAAATAAAATCGATTAAATTTGTTATTTTTATAAAAATTTTAATAGAGTTAGATATTTAAAATTTTTTTAAAAATATTTGATTTAATATATAATAAATATATATATATATATATAGGATAAGGAAGTTTGAATAATAAAAATAATATATATATATATATATAAGATATGATTCAATTCGATTTATACGATTTGGTAAGATATTAAATATTAAACTAAACAGTATAAAAAAATCTTTCTAACAAATCAAAACAAACCAAATCATGGTTCAAAAGGTTTAAATGATTTGATTCAGTTTATTGAAAATTGCTACTATTAACAATGTTATCAAAAGCGAATGTTTACTTAAAGTGTTTGGATTATATAGAAACGTAAAAGTGAAAATTTTACTTAAAACACATATATAAAATTTTATAAAATATAGACATAATTGATATAACATAAATAATGTTTAATAATAACAATTCAAATTAAAATAATCAAATTATAAATATTCAAATTTAAAGTTTTCATGAGTACAAGTCCAATAACAAATAAAGGAAAATTAAATTAAAATAAATCACTTGTACGAAATAAAGATTATAATAGTTCATTGGATGAAAGTAATTAGTAAAATGACAAATTATGAATTTAAGATTAAACTGTGAAAATAGTTAGTAAAAGCAAGATTTTACAAGTTTTATTACTTTAAACTGAGCTTTCACAAGATTTTATTTTAAAAAAATTTTAGGTGTAATCCAAAGTATTTGGTGTGAGTAAAAGTGTAAAAACGAAAGCACATATTTTATAACCATAACTATCAAGTCCATTTCCTTCACTTGTTGTATTTTTGTGATTTCAATTAATGGGTAAGGGTCTACGAGATTAAACATTTGGTTCACTACAATTTGTGAGTTTGTCAACAGTCTTTTAAGTTATTTAATAGGTTCGATTACGGTCAATATTAAAATTAACATTGCTATTAAATTTGGAGAGTTTCGATGTTTTCATAATTTATGGGTATACTAATAACAATTTGATAGTTAAGACAAGTTTAATGAATTTCAATCTTTAATTAAGTCCTGGTCTTTTATTGTGGCTGAGATGACCAGATTAACATTTCTAATCTGCGAACCATATGTCAAAAATTCTCTAGAAGATGTTCGGCTGATAAATATGCTACTGTTTCCCTGAGCAATGCCAGCGCATTTTTGGACTAGCTCCATAATTTTATTAGGATTCATTTATATTCTTTTCTTTTTCTTTTTATTAGAGGCGATGTAAATTACACTCTGCACCCCATTACTTTTTCAGAATTATTCCTTCAAGTTTTACAATCCAAGCCCTGTATATTTAGTTATCTTGCAACATTCCTTTCATCAATTAGCCTATCTAATAGAGGTTATCCTTAATTCTAAACTTTGAGAGGTGAACTAAAGACATTTACAAGTATAAGTTATAGTCTATTTGATACTAAATTCTAATTCAGTGGGTCAATAGTTTTAATAATCGTTAGATTAGTATCAGATAAAAATTTTAATACTAATTTAATGAATGTTATAATTCTTAACCTAGTATGTTAAAACCTAATATCAAATAAATTATACAGAGAGCAACATTTTCTATCTTTAATAAGCCTTGTAAATCCTATTAAGAAATTTGTCATTAGAAAGTTAATATTTGAATTGAATAATGCACATGGTAGGTATAATGAGAGAAAACAAAGAAGAATTCGGTGACAAGAATGAGATTTCAAAATTTTAGATAAAATAAAATAGAATAAGGTGACATCAATGAGATTGGTAAAAAATTTTAATACATCATATGCTAGGTCAGATAAATATTGTCAAATCAAAATTAAATGTGTGGCGGATAGTCGTGATATTATTCATAGCAATTAATATAGAAACTAGTATTATAGTTTGTATAGTTTGTAAAGAGGTAAACTAGGTCATGTACTCTGTACAAAATATCAAGCGATTGATAAAATCTGGTTGTCAAGTATCAACTATTTGAATTGACAAAAAACTGCTAGATTTTACAATTTTTTAGATTATATTTCATATATTTAAAATAATTTAAAATGGTAAGAGGTAAAAAGCTAATTATTTTTTTTCAAAAAAGGGCATATATATATACACACAGACACACACATATATGACTTCGCACGTAAATATTTTATATTTATATACCTACTTGATAATTATGAAAACCAGATACATGTTCGGCGGTTTGTTTCATTGCCTGGGTTCCATTTCATGCTTCTAAAAGTTGAACCACACAACAAGGCTGATGGAAACAAAGAGGTGGGGATGACTGAATTTGCAAATGTAGAAAGGTAGACCAAAAGGAGATACCCATTGAATCTGTCAAAAAGACTCCAAGGATAATGATTTTAAATGCGCACTCTATCTAAATTAAAGATTAATTTACACTAAACCAAATTAATTAATGAAATTTCCACGTGACTCTTCTATAGTTTTCCACATTAGAATAGTTTCCGAAAGCAAAGTTCTTCCTGCTAGATAATTGATCATTATATCCTCCAATAAATAATTCACTAATTGCTAACAAAAAAACTAGCATAATTGACAAAGATTAGCCCGCTCAATGACCTATTTCATACCGGCCATCTAGTTCTTGGGGTGTCCACACAAAACAAACCAAATTAAATATGTACTTCAATGGAAGGTTTGAAAGTAAACTTATGTCAAATTAGGTGTACGGTTTGTCTTATCCTTCAATTTTTTATTTCTGGGTTTTGTGTGATGCAACAGTAACAAACCATATCACGTTGATGCTCGTGTGATTAATTAAACATGTTTAAATGCAGATAAATGTTAAAGTTGATAAAATTTGTTAACATTTATCGACTTATGAATTTAATATTTGTTGAGTCTAATAATTGTTATATATATTTTTAATTTGAATATGAGTTTACTTTTTATCAGTATTTTTGTGAGCATAATTTTTCTCATTCAATTTTAAAATTTTGAATTGAGAAAATGATTCAATTAATTTTTTAAATTTAAAAAAATTTAAAAGCTGTCTCATGCATAGCACAGGAAACAATTTAATTATCTATAAAACCCGGGGGGGGGGGGGGGTAGGTAGGATGTATGATATTAACCAACCAAGCGAAGGCAATGGTTGCACGCATGAACGTAGAAATGGATGTTCCAAAATATATGATTGGTTTCGAATATTTTTGCAATATTTAAATTTCACAATAATTGAAAGGGAAAATTTTATAGGAGAATATAAACTTGGCCCCTTTAAGTTATTTGAATTGGCCAATATTGTTAGATAATGCATTTTCATAAGTAATTATTATGTTATTTTTTTTGGAATATATTGACTTAAATTTTTATTATTTCAAATTTCATTTCATGACCCAACAATCAGAAATTTGTTTTAATTTAAATTTAAATGAAAAAAT